AATACCTTTTGTGTAGATCTTTCACCCTCTGAGTCACATCTATTGCTAGACAATACTAATATCTGGGACATAGATGTTTGTGAATAGTATGTACTATATATAATACTATATGTCAACTAATTGTGCAACGATAGCAAGATTTTCATTGAGCAAAATTCAGTAAAATGAAGGAATTCAAACATGGAAGTATATTTTTTATATTATTATTATTTTTTTTAAATTTTTGTAAAGCATCCTGTACTATATATTTATTTTCTCTGCTCCTGAAAAATAATTTATTGAGTCAGAGCTTCCTTGTAAATGATTACATCAAATTTATTTTGTTAACTTTAAATTATCTGGAGAGTTACGATCTAAGTTTTGCAGTTCGTTAATTAAATAAATTTTTTGCATTGAAGCTATATTTGACCGTAACGATAGCTGATCTGTGTCTGAAATGAAAATTTTGGACGGAAGGCTGTTAAGCATAATCAATCTGTGGATGGTATCTGAAAGTGTTTGTTGTCTTTCTGTCTGATTATGAAAGCGTCGGGAACGCTCAGTGCTCGACTCCTTGTTGCAAATTTCTATTTTGTTTTTCAAGTCGCTGCACACGCTCCTTACTCGACGCATACTTGGGAGGTTCTAAAATTTATTCAGTAAGCCGCTACGACCGTTCGATACTCGACTGCCGCGCGGGTACTTTTAGAAGTCTTTAAATTTTGTTGAGCAAGCTGTTACGAGCGCCCGATACTCGACACTCCGGAAAAACGGTTTCCAGTTTCAGAAGAAGATTCTAAATCACGGCTTGTTTTCGATACCATCGAATGGGAACTATATCTAGAAAGTTGAAATCTAAATTTTTTGTTAATTCTAAAATGAAAAAAGTTAAACTGTCCTTAATTATTTGCTTAAAATCTATAAAAAATGTAATTGAAAAATTATAAGAACTACTTCAGTCGCGAAGCAATTTGGATAGTTAAAAGTTAGAATATAACATTTACTGAAATTTTTCGAAATAGATTTACGTAGTTCAGAAAAGTGTTTTTTTAAAACAACAAAAAAAAGGCTTATTATTTTGGGTTGAATGCTATACGAATGTAAAGTATATATATACATTCTGTCTATACAAATATATATATATATGTATGTGGGGTTCGTACCCTCTTGCATTCACCAATTTCGAAATAAGTATACAAGTTTGTTAATCCACTTCTTTAATTATAACAATTAAGTACACTTCATTTACGCAATATAGTCTCTAAATTCAGTTAAAAAATATAAGTAGTTTTCACTTTCACAATACAATTCTTCTTGCGTTATTCACTTTTTAGTTCTCAACCTTTTTATTTACTTGCTGCGCACGTCTGTTCAGTTTGGTGACCGACTTCTAATTCCTGCTTGCTTTAGCTCATCGCGATCAGAGCAACCTACGCTGTCCTTTTCTTATTTTTCCTTTCTGCCAGGGATGCCATCCCACATGTATTTATATATATTCTAGCAAAATTTATTTAACTTCACACACGATTGCTGCGTAGTGGATCGACTAAACTTTTATAGCGGTGGCATTTAGACAGAAACACATATATGTAGTATGTATGTTTGAAAACAAAAAAAAAAAAAAAAAACACTCCAGTACCTCAATGGCACCTACATCGCTTATTATTATTACGGGGCATCTTGACAGACAAAATATTATTTGAAGGTATTCTGGTATTTGGAAGGTAGGAATAGTAGATAAATACAGGGTGGCTGATGAAAGTCGCTACCAAAAACAAAAACAAAAAAAAGTTATTTAGTTTTTTTAAGATTATTACGATAGTTAGTTGAGGCGGCTTCATGTATTTTGTTAGTGAAAACCTCTACAGCATCATCTAAATCACTAGTCGAGTTTATCTCCATGTTAAGATTTATATTAGAWTCCAGTCGAGATTGAAAAAGTTTAATATCGGATCTCTTATTTAATATATTCTATTTCTGATAATTAAAGCGGAATGATTTCAATTAAGATCGTACTTATTTATTATTTCGACTATTAKCGTCTATTCTAAAATATACAGCAAAATCAATCAAATCAGCAATCGTTCTGTGATATACATATGGGCCAGTAAGTGGAACCAGTAGATGGAACATTTAAGTTTTTTCCATAATGCAATTGTATAGTTCGCGGCCTTTGGGAATAATAAGACGAGATCCCCACGATGGATGTTTGGCATTGATATCACCACCAGCTAGAAATATACTGCCCAGTTTGTTCAAAAATGTAGTAAATCACTGTTTACTTATGTTGAAACATGGAGGTAGATACAATGCGGTTATGACAATCCCTCCATTAACTCTTGTGATTTCAACGGACGCAGCTTGAACTGAAGGTAACGATATTGGTTCTAATATCTTATATTTTAAAGTTTACTTAAATATAATTGCAGATCCGCCATGTGTTTACCATCAGGTTGGTGGCAATAAGATAATTAGATCGTAACTATTTATTTAAAAAAAAAAAGACTTGTTAGTATGTGAAGTGTTTTCCTGAGATCATAGAATATCTATGTTGTTAGTTACAATACAATTTTCGACTTCTAACCTATGGTTACAAAGTCCATTAGCATTCCATATTGCCATCTTAAGGCTTAATTGCATAGACTGCACTTAACACATCTGTGTGGCTTTTCACAATATCGTTTAGTATGTCCAAACTCTTGACAGCGATTACACTGAACTGCTCTAGTTTAATCGATATGTTTGGAAGACATGTTTTGCCGGCTCTAAATTGTCAATTGATATTTGTTGACATTCCACATATGTACAAATACAGCTTGATATTCTCATATTAAGGGATTCCTTTGCTCTTGCAAAATTTTGCACCCTGCAGAAATTGCAGAATTTTCCCTTTTGTTTCAACGGCGCAACAACAAACACACGCAGAAAATTAACTGCAATGGCTGTAAAATATGTCAGATCTAAACCCATGTTTATTTTCGTGCCGTCATATATCACTAGCTTCTGCAATGGGTGCTCTCTTGGCCTTGCATATTTCGGTATAGGATTTTTGAATTTTGTGTTATCGTGCAATCTTGCAAGAGCAAGAGAATGCCGCTTTTGATTTGTTGCAAACGACTTAGATTCCAAAACATACAAATGTGTTCAAAGTCGGTCCGAACATAGTATAATGCTATATTCGATTAATGTCAAATAAATTTTGGTTGTTTACCGATGCCTCTAAGTCAGCAAAAAATAGTGACATTGGCATCTTTTTAACTTTACTTTTTGCGTTAACAATGTTTCTCACAATATGACCTTTTTGAGATAAGTCAAGTACAATGTGGAATAGTGAATATTTTTTATAACAATTTTATAGGGCCTATCCTCTTTTAACTGATACGTATGAAAAATTATATTATATGAGTCTAAATACGTCACAGGTTTCCTATAAGAGTCACTGTTTTTAGGCATAACTCTGGCATGTCCTTCTCGGCCGGGCTTATACGAAAAGTTTTCTTTRCCAATTAAAGTTGAGAAATTGATTATCATTTTATTTATATTGTTTACTTATGGTATGAAAATCGGTGGTGGCTTGAAAACATTTGTAGTTGTGTCTTATTCTTATCAATTACATTGTTGTCATAACTTTGTGTGTTTGTTTTTTGTATTCGGCTTTAGTTGCTTTTCATTACATTTGGGGATTCAATAGTTTTAAGTTTCTTTGCTTTGGGCTGATACGTGTTTTGCCTGCTATTATCATACATACCGACGTTTACAACGTCCTAAGTAACCATTAAGTCAGGGTTTAGTTTTTGCGTTTTCTCTTTTTATTACACACGATAATTTCTTTATAAAACTGCACGGACAAAAAATTAAACTACACTTTTCGACTATACTCGCACTACCTGTAATCGCACGCACTAAGTTTGGTGACCCCACTCACTGAATTCAGGATGAGAACTGATAAATTGCTTGGTGTTTAAATGACACTCTACCCGGAGAGCAGGGATATACATTTTTTTTTTATAAAATTTTCCATTTTAAATTAAAACTCCCAACATTTATTACGATTGCAAATTATTATATATTGGACTTTTAATATTAGGCGAAACTACTTAATTCCTTTTTTATGATTTTATGGTGCATTAAAACAACTAACTTTTAATCTTTCAATACTTAATAAGGTGAATTAAGACTTTTAGTTATAACCTACTATGCAAAACGTTTCATGAAATATATTTAAATTTCGCAATTTCTTTGCTTTTCATTGATTTAAATTTTTATTAGCGATCTTGAAGGGCGGCAACAAATTCCTTCGTTTACATATATTTTTGGTATGATTTCAATCTGGTCGTTCCAGTCATACCAATTGCAAAACGTCAAAACATACCCAATTAAGCCAACTGTCGAAGTTCGGTAGGAGAGCGGTTCTCACATTTCCAGTGACAGGAGAGTTGGGGATATCTTTATCTCTGCCGGAGAGACTAGCCTGGAGAGACTGGCTCATCCTAACACAACTGTGCACAATATACCACATCCGATGACACCATACTCATACATTACCACACAACACAACTCACCACACTTCTACATCAACCCAATTAACTTAAAGGATGTTCTCCTGAGCAGGTTCAATTCATTCGTCACATACAGTTCGCGTATCAATTTTCGTTGTTTCGGCACCCAACCCGCGCGCTGCAATTAACTCTTGCTTATAAACATTAATTCGGATCAATCCTGCAGATTAATTCGACCGGAATCCTGCACATGGTCTAATTTTCACCTGCATACGGTTCAATTATTCCATCGTCTCTTGGCATGTAGCGAGTGCCTTTACATACCAATTGTTAAATGTGACGTGTCAAATTCAATATTTTCAATTAAACTAAATTGTATTGAAAAATATAATAGTATTTTTCTTGTCCCCGTTTAAACACTTATTATAATTACTTTTAATCGAAGTAAACTAATCGAACCGCTTCAGATTTACCATAGTTTTAGTTGATATTTATTTAATTATAACGTGTATATATACTTACCATTTCGAGCATTTCATTTACAAAAATTCGTTGATTATAATGGTATTGCATTTGCTCATTCAAAGTATTTATCATCAGCTGTTCTAAACCGTTTCTATGAAAACATTCAAATCCGAACATATCATGCACAACTACGGCGTTAGTGTCACCACTAGTTAGATAAAGTAAATAAGACATAAATTATTAAATATTTTTAAAGGAACATCTTGGACAGAGTATAATAGTTTTGTTCAACTACTAGAGTTATATTCGTACCTTCACATGAAAAGGCAGACGATACAAAATGAAGGAGGTTGGTCTACTAATGAACAACAGCAGACCATTACCGTATACAAATACCACCAATCGAAGAAATATAAATTACCTTACTGGCAATTACACAGACACTGTGAACGAAAACTGTTATACGAAAGGCGCCAAAAACATTAAATTTTACCGCAGAAATTGCAATGAGGTTGCATGTGAATCGGCTTACAAATTTACTAATAGCGATCCTACAAATTACTTATCATCTCTACATCATTTTAAAGATAGCCGAAATCGGACCGCAACAAGTGAAGAGATTGGATTGAAACCGTTTCTGAAAGCTTTAGCACATCCATACTAGAAATGATGAAATCGAGCTAAATACTTCAATCGCCTGCTACCAAATAAAGGCCTAGAGCTGTTTTATATTAAAAAGGTAAGATACTTTAAAGAAATTAAGTATGTACCTCTTACCAAATGGGAAAAATATACGTAATAATTATATTCACCTATTATTAAACTTTTTTATCAAAATAATCACCTGGAATGTCCAGTCCCTTAATTGGGAAAGTGCCGCTGCCCAGCTGGTTGATGGCCCCATAGAGTAAAGGCTGACATCACCGCCGTCCAAAAAGTGGAATGAACGTGATAAGCCTAAGACCCGCAGATCTTTGTGACAGTACATATATAAAGGAGCGCAAATTCAGAATAGGAATTGTGGTGAAAGAGAGACTCCATTGAAAAGTCCTGGCATTCACCCTGGTTGATGAACATCTAGGCACAATCCGCAACAAAGTGAAGTTCTTTAACATATCGCTGATTTTCGCTCACGCTCCAACGGAACAGCGTGATTGACTTTGGAATCAAGGCCCGAACTATGGTTTACTGGAGTACTAGATTTCATCATAGAAAAAATTATCAAGCTTCTTGGCTGTGTCCGGATCGAAAAATTCTGTGTTAGACGGAATACACATCTCCAGTGTTTTAGAAGTGCGTATGTTCTGAGGCCCTAGTATTGACTCGGACTACTATCTTGTTGAAGCTAAGATACGCACCCGCCTCTGTGCAGCAAAAATTCTCTTCAACAAACACAAGGAAGGTTCGCCGTCGAGAAGCTGCAATCACAACAGAAATCCGAACGATTTTTTACTCTTTCACGGAAATCCACTTACGATACGCAAACGAAACGGCGACTAACAGAAAGTTTCAAAACCGGAGCATTATTTTCATTAGAATTCCCAAAGAGGATCTAGTGACTGATGCCCGGGGGACACTGAAATTATGGGTGGACCACTTCTCCAGTCTGCTAAAAGACAGTGAAAGTATAATACTAGGAGAGGTTGAACGCGATTCCTCAATCGATGGCGATAGAACAGACGTTCCATTCACCGATCATGAAGAAGTTCGGATAGAAATTATCGTCTGAAGAACAACAAAGCCAACGGATTGCCGGCCTAGCTATTCAAACATGTCAGCGAAGAACTTATAACGAGCATCAATATCTTTGTAGCATATTGTCAGACGAAAGCATGCCCAATCCACAAAAAGAGCGACCTCATAATCTGCACCAACTACCTTGGAATAGGCCTTTTCAACATGGCATAAAAGGATTTTGAGAAATAATTTGGGCTTGCGTCTGTATAAATATGAATGCACTCAAGAATTGAAGTTGGACCACAGGAAACCTCGTGAATTTGCTGAGTTTGCCTTGGAGCCACTTCAAAACATTAAGAATTTTTTTAGGAAAACCATCTTCTCCGATGAGGATCACTTTCATCTAAGTGGTGTGGTAAATAAACAAGCTTATCGATATCTGATGCAGAGAAAATCCACAAATTATTAATGAACAACCTTTCCATTCACTTAAATTGATAGTTTGGTGTGGTATTTGGTCTGGTGGAACCATCAACGTCTTTCAAAACGAACTATAGAGAGTGATATAGAACGACGATAACTAATAATGGCCGCAATTGGAAGAATTCAATCTAGATAACATATAGTACCGAATTATTGTACGAAAAGTTTAGAGATTCCATTATTTCAAAAATTATGACAATAAGTGGTCTCTAAGAGGTTGTGATTTAACACCATTAGACTACTTTTTGTGAACTTAWTTGAAGTAATTGGTCTTTAGCAATAAACCAGACTTCCTACAAGCTTGAGAAGTCAATATTTAACGCGCTTTTCATAACATGTTGATTTGATTTAGTGAATAAAATACTTGAAAATTGGATTCACCAAATTCGTTCCTGCACAAGAAGTTATGAAGGCCATTTGGATGATAATTGTATTGATTGCTCTAAAAGAAATTTGAATTTTCTTAACGATGTGGATTTTTGTTTTAGAAATCGTATCACCTTATTTGATAATCCTAAATTTATATATATATGGGTCATTCCACCAAAATTTATTTTCAAAGTTCTCTTTCGTAAGAAATATCATTTTGTGTTTTTTATTTCGATTAAATTATTACACAGGATATATTAAGTTTGCCACGAAATTTGTAACACCCAGAAGGGAACGCCCTGAGTCAATTTAGCCTCTCTATCTATATCTATGTATACGATCAAGTCCGAAGTTTTCTGACCAAGAAGCTGCTCATTTGTAGGAACGGCCGATATCGAACCACTTGGCATACATGTATGTGCCACACAAACTAAACAATCGGTATCAATTCCTTGTATGGAACACTTCTTCATTCGTAGATATATCCAAAGAAATCGATCAGACCGGGTCACTATGGCATACATACTTATCGATCGGAATCAAGTTCATATGTATAAGGAAAACGTTTTAATTTGTGAAGGCTTTTTATCTTTGGTGCAACCGATGTTAACGTTTTTTCATATTTTTATAATGAAATTCTTTTTCAGATATGTGCAAATTTTAAAAGGTACATTTTCCAAAATTTTGTAATTCATAACTATAAAATTATTCATATTGAGTCGAAATAAGAAGACGTGTCCAATATTTTACCTCAAAGAAATGAATATATTGGTCTACAAAATGTAACAAAATTATTTAAACGCATTCTGCATACAACTTGAATACAGTGCTGAGAATGGGTGAGAAAATAATTGGAGATTTGCCATGTTTTCATTATTAGTGTTTTGGGAAAATACATCGAAGGAATTAGTCTAAAGTGTATAGATGCATCAACAGTTGCGTCTGATTTTTCCATTTTGCATTTGGTTAAAATTTTGATTTCGTATTATTGATATCAACTCAACCCGTTAAAAAAATTCCATTAAGGGGCTATACCAGTGTAATGCAAAAAATTAGGCGATTTTCCTGAATTTTTTTAAAAAGAAAGTACTATATGGAATGTTTTGAACTTCTTTTGGCGTAATTTTGAAAAATTCGGTTTTCTAAATAAAAAATGGTCGTTTTTTTTTAATGCCACCGACCTATTCAACAATACTCAGTTTAAATTTGAGGTGGAACACTGGTATAGATCCTTAAAGTAACAATTTTTTGGCTTGATATTTCATGTAAAACTTTAATTGTGGAAAATATTTGTTTGACCAATTTGTAATTATTGCTATGCATTTGAATATCATATATGTATAATGATGTAACGTCATTGTTGTAAAATAGTGTATATGTATTAGTCATGGTTATACTTACAAGACAGCACGAGGAAATGATAAATTCATATTTATCTTATTAATTATCCAATCGACGAGTCGACAATATATTGTCGATGCCACAGCATCCCTGGCATCACGCGCTTCTTCAGTACTGTATTGACGTCTCTCTGCTATGCCGCCTTTAACCATAATAAAATTTGTTAATGACCACATGTATTTTTTCTCGTCTACTCGCAATAATTCTGCTATGTGAGTAACCATTTCTGTATTTTCCACTTCTGCATATTTACCAGAAGATCGAAATCGAATGTTGCCAATATTTAAAATAGCAGCAAGAACCTGTTGAGGTTTATATTCTTATAGTATAGAAAATTATTTATGATTTTTTTTTACTAATTTGAAGTACTTGCTCTTTTGCCGTATTTATACTTATATATATATTTTATGAAAATGTTAAAATTTCGAATAACGAATTTAAATAAATTATTGGACTTTATTTCAAAATTCGTTAATAGGAAAACATTTAATAAAATTGTCTTTCAATTTAATTAATGTGGCACTTCTTTACCTAAAATACAAAATAACGTATCATCAAAACGTTCGAAATTTTTTATCAGATATAAATCGGTTATGCCCAAAATTCCCAAAAATTTTTTACCATGAGTATATTAAGTATTATATTGTTATTTTCCTTCCTGTTAACTTATGAAGAATTATGTTACATTATTTTGCATTTTTAAGGATCATATGTAGAATTGGTATTCATTTTGGATCAATAAAAGCTTAAAAGTTTGTTAATATGGTATATGTTTACATTCGCATGACTTTACCTTGCGTAATGTTTCTAGTTGTTTGTGATTAAAGTCAAGATCTTGCAAAATGCACTCGAAGCGTTTGTAATGTTCAACATTGTTAATGGGATCATCGCGATGGTACTTCAATTTAGTTGGTTGCATTTCGGCTGGAATACGTAGATATCGATATCCACGCTCACTTTTTAAATGATACTCTTTTAGTAGACTCTCACTATTCATAAAATCGTAGAAGTAGTAAAAGATATGAAAGTTGTGCTGGTTCCTACAAAGAATAATAAAAATTTATATATAATAGCTGGACATTTGTTTGAAAAATAATCTTACATGTCCGTAGTGGAAACTCGAAGTTTCTCTAACATATACATATTAAACACGGCACCACTCAGTTTTCCTGTCTGACCAAAGGTCAGGAAGTACTGCAACACACACCGTGTGGACTCATTGTTAATAGGTGTACCTGCGTTTACCAACATTTGAATTGCTTCGATTGAATTTTCAACTCTTAATGTTGCACCCCGATTACCAGCTCCGAGGTAACATAAATGATTTATGAGCAGACGCACGTTGGTTGATTTACCAGAAAAGCTCTCTCCTGAAAATACAACGTGCTGTGGTTCTTTGTGGTGTAGCATATCTTGATAAGCAATATCAGCAACTGCGAAAATGTGGGGAGAGTTTTGCGAACGCGACTTAAACTTATATTTACTGTGGAACTGAAAATGGTTCAATAGTTTTGTTATATACTAGCGTTATCTAAAAGTTATTACCTCTTCGTCAAAGTCTGTTTGCAAATCGTTTGAATTTAGTGATAATAAAACGTCTCCGATAAAACTGTAAGACCCACCGAGCTCCATACGGCTTCGAAGTGATTCTAAAATCATTTCGTCTGTTGGATTTTCAATCGCAGCCAAGTCTTCTGGGTACATACGTTCCGGTTTTCCATCGAATCGTTTTATATAACCCCTGTCAACAAATATTTCAAGTTCTTTGTATATAGGTGGAGCATCTCTACAAAAAACTAATAGTTCGCGAAGATCTGCTTGCATCTAGATGGCCATGCGTTCAATGAATTTAAAATGTTATTACAATAATATAATGGGGCTTACTTCTTCTTCATTGTCAAATAATTCGTTCAGAAATGGATGCTCAATCATTTCAACCATCATAGGCCTATTCTCAACATTTTTCTCCAAACACTCCGATACAAAATCATTGATTTGTTGTGACCAATTAGTTGGCCGTAATAAAGTCGGCGGAGGGTTACGAACTATTTGAAACATAACTCTGGTGGGGTGCATGTCGGCAAAAGGTGGTTGGCCATCCGCTAACTCAATTGTGGTTATGCCTAGCGCCCAGACATCTGCTCGGGAGGAAATCTCAGCGCCCTCTGAAGATTTTATTATTAAAATATAAATTGATATGTTAAAATCAAATGAATATGAATTATTTACTGCAAATCTACACATTATTCTGGGTGACACAGTCCAGGGTTGCGAATTTTTTAATTTATACATTAAAATTTAAATCTTAATTTCTTAAGCCCTACTACGGTATTTTTAAAATAATTTAATATATTCCCGTCATGGATTAAAAATTTAAATTTTAGTTTTTTAATATAATTGAAGCACAATCTTAAATCATAAATATATATATACTTGGAATTAAAATTCTACATTTTTTAGTTTTCAATCCGGTAGTTGAGACTAAAAATCAATAATAAATTTTTAATCCGCTTTATGTGTTTACATTTATTTTTAGTTTTTTAATCCGGCTTATAGAATAAGAACTTTTTTTCTGAACCGGTATGTGGGATACAAGCTTTTTTATTTTTAATCTTAAATCAAATGTTAATTAAATTAGTTATGGTATCGACAGCTCGTTTTTAGTTTTCGAGGATATAAGAAAATAAAGCAAAAATCAAAAAAATAGTAAGGATGAGCTAAGTTCGGGTGGAACCGAACATTTTATACTCTTTAAACAATCAAAGCCAGGAAAATACATTAAGATGTAAATGGTCAACTAGAGGATGGGAATCTAAGCAATTTTATATATACATATGTATTTATATAACTCATACACTGACCGACTTATTCGACTTAAAGTTTATTAGAAAAACGCTACTACAATATAAATATGTAGTATATAGGAGATAGAAGAGTATCGTAGAGCGATTTCATCTACTAAGGCAAGTTTTAGATATTTTAGATATACAGAGTTACCTTTATCAGGTAAGAATTCTATCTAAATTTCAAAAATATATCCCTCATCCTCCGCTTTTCGCAAAGGAAGATGTGCACCAAGTTTTATTACGTTATCTTGCAAGGACAGACAATATAAAATGCCACTAAATTGCAAACACACATTATAAACCATAGATATGCGGGTGACATTGCAATGTATTATACTGTAGTCAGTTCGTGTATTGAGTAGAAAAATTTCACAAAGCAAGGCGATGTGAGCCAAGTTTTGAGAGTCCTTTCGAGAACTTTTTCTGCAGTGACTTAAATGTCATTATGCGCTTGCAGCAGCCACGCCGATCAATTGAAGAAAATATGAGTTATGGGGTGTATTTTTACATCACAGTTCTTCAATGTTTAAAATACAGTTTTCGTTAACTTGTTGTCTTTCGCCTTTGTTCTCAATAGCGCTACCAGTGATCAAGTCCACGCTTGAACGGCAAACGTCGTTGTCATTATCCAAAAGACCTTTGAATCTATCTATCACGCAGTCAATGAAAGTTTCGATTTCTTTGGTTTTACTTTTTCTGGAAACAGAAAACTTAGTCGAAATCCATTCAATACTTCTCTAGAAAAGAGCGCCTTCAAATATTCGCCGATTGTATCTAACAGAGGAATGTACACTGAGACCTTGTATTATTCTTTGCAAATTCTCAAGGAGAAATTTTCGCATTTTGTTTGTCGGCCGCAGAGTCTCGGTTTTCTTCGTCAACTTTTTTTCCTTTCTGACTAAATGGGATGGAATTCTACACATGACAGAAGTTCACGCAAATGAGGAAAGTTTTCTGATCGCCATTCACTTGGGAGTGGCCAGAAACGATTATTTTACATATGGCTCACGCAGCTCACGACAACCGGGCCTAGACCAAGTATTCTTTGGGTAGCCAGAAAACACCCGTTTGAAGGAAAGCTAAATTGAGAAGGCGAAACACCCTCTTCACAGGGTTGTGCGCTGGGTTTTGACCCATCACGTAAAAAACATTACTAATAAAAGAACATAAGCAGCCTCGGATAAGAGGTGATGAAGACCATGGAATGTCTGGTCCCTTATTTGGGAAGGAGCCGCTGCCCAACTGGTTGATGTCCTCGTTAGAGTGAAAGATGACAACAAAGCCGTCCAAGAATGCGAAGGACGGGACAAGTCGCCGAGTACTATCTTTCAATCCGGTGGATRAATGTCTATCTGTAATCCGCATCAAAGTGAGGTTCTTCAACATATCGCTGATTTGATGAGAACATATCGCTATGAGCGCTTGGAGACTTTAACGCCAGGATGGGCAAAAATAGGTTAGGGTTGACCGATTTTGCCGGAGCCCGAAAAATGGTTATCTGTGGTACTATTTTTCCAGCTCAGCAAAATTCACCAAGCTACCTGGCTGTCTTCGGATCGGAAAGCCATGAACCAGAGCGATGATGTTACGATAAACGGAAGACACATCTTCACTGTTTTAGAAGTGCGCACGTTCCGAGGTCCTATCATCGGCTCGGACAAAACAGCCAAGATACGCACCCGCCTCTGTGCAACAAAACAAACACAAGAAAGGTTTGACGTAGAGAACCTGAAATCACAACCAAGAGCCGAACCATTTGCTACTCGACTTTCACTCTTGTTTTCTGAGAGCACTTGTTAGCATCTCGGTGTAAGGGAACTGTGGGACGGCATTTCAAGCGCCTTACGTACAGCTGCAAAAGCTGGTACGATGAGGAGCGCTATTTCTTAGGGGAGAGAAAATAGCCTGCCTACTTCGCAACGTTACAATTGACCAAAACACGTGTGGGATGGGATAGATGCAGAGAGTTGAAGAGGGAGGCGAGACGTATGTATTTGCAGATAAAAAAGAGAGAGACCTAAACGCGTGAGCTTGACAAGCTGACCGACAGGGTTAATGCTCGAAAATGCCGGGCGAGCTATTGAGACTGGGCGATGAAGAGCTGATAAGAAGAATGCATCAGCTTCTTTGTAACATATGGTAGGACGAAAGCATGCCCAAGGATTGAAATTTTAGTTTGCTCTGCTCAATCCACAAAAAGCAAGACACAATCTGCGCCTATTACCGTGGGAAAAGCCTCCTCAACATCGTGAATAAGGTGCTAGTGAGCCTATTGTGTGAAAGAACACAAAGCCCACCGTCAACAAACTGAAGGGACCTTATCAGTGTGGCTTTAGATCTGGAAAATCAACAACTGACCAGATATTCACCATGCGCCAAATCTTGAAAACGACTCGTGAAAGAGAATTGACCACCTCTTCATCGATTTCAAAGCTACACTTGACAGTACGCAATGTGTCTGAATTTGGTATCTCCGCAAAACTAATACGGCTGTGTAAACTGACGTTGAGGAACACCAAAAGATCCGTCAGAATCGGGGGGAAAACAATGAAGATGAGCTATTTTTAGAAGATATTACTTTTGGCAAGCTGCGCGTAGAAGATATAACGTTCGAAAAGCATCGCATAGATGACATTTTGAAGAAAAAACAAGCTGTGCGTAGAAGGTGTAACATTCGAGAAACTTCGTATAGATGACATATCGAAGAAAGGCAAGCTGCGCGTAGAAGGTATAATCTTCAAAAAGCCTCTAATCGATGACATATCGAAGGAAGGCAAACTGCGCGTAGAGAAAATAATTTTTGAGGAGCAATGCAAATTTAATGATGTGAATATCAAAATGTCTCTTTTAAAAATTGAAGAGAATGGAAAAGATGAGATAAAAGAGCTTTCAAAAAGAGATGTTGAAGTTGATGACACCACGAAGTGCCCGACCCAATGATAATAAGTTAACAACTAAGTGCAATCAAAAATCATGTAACCTGGCAGTAAGGAAGAAAACAGAAGAACAAAAAGAAGCGTGAAGCGACTATTTAGAAAAAATTAAAAAGAATAAAACGAAAGAGGAGGTTAATTCAAACACCTCCTTAATTAATGAAGAAATAGAAGATTTTAAGAGGCGTTTTATTCCCCAGAAGAGAGAGTTATTCGGAGGAAGTAGAGAGGTTAATTATGGACTTTTTAGAAGACCAAATAACTCAGGTGATAATTTATTTATTATTTCTACACTACGATCTACAATCAAATTAAATTGGAATTAGAGTTATGTTGAATTTAGTCTGACGTTATTTGTTAATACATTGTGAAAAAAAACACCCAGAAATTGTAACTAATTTCCAAGAATAAATGATATTTTAAAAGCTAACTTGGTAAAACTGTCAATAATCACTTTGTCAAATACGAGAGCGATCTGCCAAACAGTTTACAGCAGTGCACCTCAGAAGTGTGTTGCAATTTTTTCAATAGATAAAAATACCGAAACAAATTTTACTATAATTTTGTATTCTAAAAAAAAGCAAAATCGTTGCGAATATTGGAAAAGACTTACGGGAATTCAGTTTTATTAAAAACACTAGCCTACGAGTGGTACAAAGTCCCTAAAGACGACTTTCGACATCTTCAACTGATGCAAATATTGAGAAAGTGAAGGATATGTTTTTTGAAAATCATCAGGCAAGTTTTAGAGATTTGGCAAGAGAGCTCGATATATTTCGTATAAAACATATCATATGAAACACCTTCTTGCTCGGCTCGTCTCCATAAAGCTGAATATTTCTCAAAATGAGTACAGTAAACAAGTCTCTTGGACATGCTTGATTGTACGAATTCTGATCCCATATTTATTGAGAGCAATATAACTGTTTATGAGAAATGAGTTTAAGATGTTTCAGAGTGATGTTTTGCTAACGAAGTTTTGTGGGGTTTTAAAAAATGAGCGGCTTGTGGGCATAGTTACGTTATTAATTTCTATTGTGTAGTAGCTGTTTTGACTGACCTACATATATACAATTTTCAACACTCACATACAGGTGTCTTGTACATTAATTCCGACTCCATTTGTTTTTGGATCTTACCTTTAATCTTGTGAATAGGTAACCAAATATTTTCAAATTGTAAAACGCAGGCCTCCACTTCGTTTCTTCATTTTTTTTCACATTTTTACGGACAACTATTTTATAAAAGGAAATTTGAAGTACAATATATATATAAACGAAAAGAATAATAAGACGACTTGAAATCGGAAAGACGACAGAGAGTCTGTGTAAGCGATAACTTGAGTAAATTGAGTAATTGAGATATCTTAACTTGGTACACGCGTTTCTTAGAGAAAAGTGAGGATGAGTTGGTAGATGGGCGTAATCGGACCACTGCCACGTCCAAAAAAATGCCATTAAATTAAATCTATATAGTACCATAACTAAGCAAATTAAGACATTATTTTTCTTTTTTGGTGCAGATACCGCTTATGCTTTTATAGCTGAGTTGTTGTAAACCAGTTGTTCTTCCTTTTCGCTGTTTGGCGCCAATTGGATATTTCAAGTGTAGAAATCTTCTTCTTTCCAATCAAGTAGAGCTCTCAGAGCTGGAGTGTTTTCATCAATTTGTATGACATGTTCTAGAAAGCGTAGCCGCGTATATGTCATAAAGCTCATTGTTCTCTCAACTGCGGTATTCGCCGTTGCCAAAGCGCGAAGGAGCATAAATCACCCCCTGAACATTTCTTATTCATCGAGCGAGGAAAATTAAGGGCTTAAATTGTAATTTGGTATAGACCATGCCCACTATGAGCTTTAATAAACATATATCCTAAGCCACTTAAGGTACAATATTCAAATTCGCTTATGAGGAATCAATAAAGCATCACAATGGACACTGTAAAAATGGATGGAATAAGGAATAAGCCCGCCCATTCCCCATATAAGGGTGCCATCAAAAACTACTAAAGGTGAGATAAATTAACAAATTAAAAATTCAGAGTCTTTAAATTTTACACATCCCACATTTCGACCCAACATCGAATTTTTGGATCAAAGTTTGACTTTTTATCGGAAACATACATCAATGTGAGGGATACATCTTAGAATAGTGATTCGAAGAAAATACTTTTTTAATAATAATATCCTTGTATGGGTTTAATCAGATAAAACTTTAAGTAATATACCCCACATACCTAATAGAAATATTTTCGAACTTCCGATTTACTTTATACCTCATATATCAACCATTATGTTAATTATTATAAAAAAATTAAAATGTTCCTAATGACTAACTTCTTACTTACCAACTTTATGTACCTATGGCATTGTATGGTATTTCCCTGGCTTTGATACTGGCATGTTGCAAGAATATGATATAGGTTACGCCCAAATTTAGCCATTCTTTACTTGTTCCTGCAATGTTTATTATTGTACTCTCGCAACAAAGTTGCTAAAGAGAGTATTATAGTTTTGTTCACATAACGGTTGTTTGTAAGTCCTAAAACTAAAAGAGTTAGATATAGGGTTATATATACCTAAGTGATCAGGGTGACGAGTAGAGTTGAAATACGGATGTCTGTCTGTCCGTCCGTCCGTCTGTCCGTCCGTACGTGCAAGCTATAACTTGAGAAAAATTGATATATCTTGATGAAACTTGGTACACGTATTTCTTGGCTCCATAAGAAGGTTAAGTTCGAAGATGGGCAAATTCGGCCCACTGCCACGCCCGCAAAATGGCGGAAACCGAAAACCTATAAAGAGTCATAACTAAGCCATAAATAAAGGTATTAAAATGAAATTTGGCACAAAGGATCGCATTAGGGAGGGGCATATTCGGACGTAATTTTTTTGGAAAAGTGGGCGTGGTTCCGCCCCTACTAACTTTTTTGTACATATCTTGAAAGCTACTATAGCTATATCAACCAAACTGTATAGAGTCATTTCTTTTAGGCATTTCCATATACAGTTCAAAATGGAGGAAATCGGATAATAACCACGCCCACCTCCCATACAAAGGTTATGTTGAAAATCACTAAAAGTGTGCTAACCGACTAACAAAAAACGTCAGAAACACTAAATTTTACGAATGAAATGTCAGGGGGAAGCTGCACGCAGGCTTTTTTAAAAATTGAAAATGGGCGTGGCGTCGCCCACTTATGGACCAAAAACCATATCTCAGGAACTACTCAACCGATTTCAATGAAATTCGGTCCATAATATTTTCTTAACACCCTAATGACATGTACGAAATATGGGTTAAATCGGTTCACAACCACGCCTTATTCCAATATAACGCTATTTTGAATTCGATCTGATTCCTTCTCTGTATAATATATTCATTAGGAACCAATGATGATAGCGGAATAAAACTTTACACAAATACGGTATTTGATACGAGAGTATAAAATGTTCGGTGCAACCCGAACTTAGCCCTTCCTTACTTATTTTATATTTCTCTTTGGTGTCCGATGGGTTTCAATATACCATGAATTTCTTTCTTTTTTATCTTTTTCAAAGTCTTCTGCACCGGTATATATATTTTTTATTGCATATTTTAAAAGTAATGATATTAAATATATTTTACTCTGCATTGATGAATATAAAAAACCAGAGCAAGTGATTCTATTTCAAATTATGTGAGCATAATAAATATAAAGGATATAGAAAGCATGATTTATTAAATTTAATTCAAACAAGATAATTCTTATAAATTGAAACTAAATATAATATTTGGGAAATGCAGACAAATCTTACTTGCACTCATTGCAGTCACAACTTCCGGAGCCATCCAACATGGTGATCCTATGCATGTTCCACGTTTTCCAAATGTTGAATCAACTTCACGTGACAAACCGAAATCACATAGCTTGACTCGTGCATCTTTGGTAAGAAGTATATTATCACCTCTAATATCCCTATGTATGACGTGATTTCTATTTAGCTCAATAGCGCCACGACATATCTCGCGAATAATGTAGGCAATATGCTCCTCACGCATTCGCCGTTCTAATTTTATCAATTTGTTGACCATATCCACGGCTGTACCCCCACTGCAATACTATAAAGGTATTTACACATAAACACTTCGTTTCATTGCTATAAAGACATTATAGAATTACTCTGTGACACAGATAAAAATGTGTTCCCATTCCAAATCGAATGATGTTATTTCAAAGGTTTATGGTTAATATTATATAATACCCGTGACAGACATGTAGTAACAATATCATAGGAAAATAATAATGGTATTCTGTTTACTACGTTGATGACACACATGCCAATGTACTAAACTCAAATACTAGCTTTGTTTCATAGGCATTGAAAGTTTTCAAAAATTTCAAAAAAAATAAATATTTAGTTGTATGTATGTATGTTGTGAAGACAATAAGTATAATTGTTTAAAATACTCTAAAGTTAATGTATTTTCGTCACCAAAAAACGGTTTGGTTAAAGACTCGCTACAAACCTGACATAAAATAAGCCACTTATTGCTTTTCTGGAAATAAATTGTGAAAATATTTCGTTTTCCATTTCATTTATTAATTTTTTAAGTCATTTTGACGGAATAGTTCGAATAGCTTTTGCGTAAAAGCTTTGTTACCTTTGTTTAGCTGTGTTAAATGAAATACCACCGTGAAACATCATAGTATTGTTACCAGCAAAATACTACAGTGCTTGTATGGTATTTTGCTAGAATTTGGTGACACACATATGGTATTTGCAGTTGATGTAATTAAAAAGCATTTTTGGGGTGAATAGAGCAAATGTATCCAAAATAGCTGTTTCAGCTCAGAAATCATATTAAATTGACGATAATCCTATATAATTCAATATTCCATTATTTGTTTTGATAATGAGAATAATTGGAAATTCAATGCTCTGGCATTTCATCACTTCATGTAATGCCAAAGCATTTTTAGTAATAACACAGCATCTTTAGTATTACACATAGAATTGTAAGAATATAAATATAAGTGAATTTACTAATAAAAATCAGAAGGTACTCAGAAGATGTTCAGAACCAGTGAGCCCGGAGTACCGACTCAAAACAACACGTTGTTTTATTTCTACCGCGTGTAGCGGAAAAACATTTTTTTTTAATACTTCCCACGCAGGGAAGTTAATTTGGATTCTTATATGAATTGTTGTCTTGTTGAAAAGAGAAAGACTTTTACAAATGACTGTGTATATAGGGTAGCAGATTTGCTTCTACTACTTCCTGGTACTCGGAACTATTTATTCGGCAAGATGTTAATACCAACAGTACCAACAGTATTTTAAAATATCATAGATATGCAATTATTCCCTTTTTTAAGTTATTGGTTGAGTAACTCAGAAAAGATTATTTGTGTATATAAATAAAAATTCTACATACACAAATATCCACAAAAACAAATTTACGGAAGGCACACGTAGCGAGAGTATGAAAAAGGAGTAAGTTTCTTTTCATGCGACCCGGTATTGTGCTCATTCCCTCTTGAGTCAATACTTCAATCACATCAAAGCGAAATGATTTAAAGCGCCAAGAAGCGCAAACAGTATTTTTGGATGACGTCAGTTACTTGAGTATTTTCAGTTTAGATCTATTGTGTTTGTTGCTCTTTTATTTTAATTTTTTTGTTTTCAATTTCTATGTTGGTTACTTACGCTGGTTGGAATGCACGCAGCATTTATTTGCCATCATTCTTGATAAGGTTTAGGATTTTGTCCGCTTTACTTACAATGTATTCTGGGTGATGCACTTACTACCCATTTGCCAATTGTTTTTCTGATAATCCGCCGGCTTTCTAGATTGCTAACTCCAAGCAGTTTCTTACTATGATTTCGTAATTTTCCCAATAGTAACAAGAATGCACATGCTTTATTGGTTTAGGAAGTAGAATCAATCGCTGAACTTTCCATTTTTTACACGGATTGTAAATTAGTATCCTTAGTACTTATTATTCTTCGGATTCTTAGTGAGAGATAAAAAGGCTATTGCCTAACGCCTCAGAGAGGTCAAAACAAAACGCCAATGCAAAAATTAAGCACGTACTTTGTTTGAATTGCTGTTACGGGGAAAAAATAATCTGTTTTCCACAAAAAAACCACAGAATATAGGAGGGTGAAAGCAAATGAATTTTTATTAGAAAATACAAATTGTATTTGTCTTTATACAATGAACAGGGTATATTAAGTTTGTCACGAAGCTTGTAACCCCCAAAAGGAAGGGTCGGAGACCCTATAAAGTATATATGTATATGAATGATCAGTATGTATATATACGAACTAGTCCATCAGTTTTTAAGATGTCAATTTAAAACTTTGCAAATGTCATTTTCTCTTCAAGAAGCTGCTCATTTGTCAAAACTGCCGATATCCGACCACTATAATATAATAGCTGCCATACAAACCGAACGATCGGAACCAAGGSCTTGTATTGAAAATATTCGCATTTATCAGATATATTCACGAAATTCGGTACAGATTATTTTCTAAGAAACAATGTAATATCCGAAGAAATTGTTTAGATCGGATTACCATAGTATATAGCTGCCATACAAATTGTGGAAAAGTTTCGCATTTGACGTCGTATCGTCACGAAATTTGGCATGGATTACTGCTTAAGGTAACAATATAGTCTCCAAAAAAATTGTTCAGAACGGATTACTATGGCATATAGCTTCCATACAAACTGAACACATAGTTACTAACAGAAATGCACCTGAGAAGGGTATCTAGCTTTATTGCTACCGAAGTTAACTATTTTCTACCTACAGAAAGTTTAGTGTCCGTTTGAATTGTGTAGCTTCCGGGCAGGCTCAGGAAGGAATCGATTAATATTTTTATGAAAAACTAAGAATTTAAGAAAAACTCCAGAACCGCAACAAAAACATAACCACCTTAATTGAAATTTACACGAAATGTATATTTACAATCTTGTCAGGATTAGAGGCTCACTTATAGTATGGAGCAGAGATCTGCAATTAGTACCAATAAAATTAATGCATTTAAGTCATGAGCCATAAAAAAAAGAGAAAATGAGTGCTCATAATAACAAAAATTTCTAAGGCTCATTCCCACAAAAACAAAAAAAAACTCAAAGTATTTCTACACTTATGAGTGACAACAATTTATGACTCTCTACATAGTAGACAAATAATTTGACTTTACTCACTTTTAAATGGCCTGACATGCAGACTTCCAATATCAATAGACACAAATGCTTTATCTTACATAAAAAAGAACTACCCAAACAGAAAGTAAGTGAGGAGGATAAAAAATTAGCTCTAGCAGCTTGCGCTGGTTGGCTGATCCGTGGAGGGCTTCGAATTAAAAAAATTAGTAAAACTTTTTGTGGTTGTGCTCAAAATGGCTTATTATTTTTATCCTTCAGTTCTGCGTCTCCAAGCAAGCCAATTAAATAAAATTGAAATGGGTTAACGGATTCATCTATACCAGAAGATCATTCAATATTTCAATTGAGCAATACAGCGTCATCTTTCATGACTTTATCAGAAGGTAATTCTTCCTCTTCAAGTAAGGAAGAGAGTTTCTTCATTCCAAATCAGCTGCCATGTACGAATACTTCTTTAAAAAAATAGAATTTTGATGTTTTGCAGTGGTCGCAAAATAATAGCAAACGAGATCCCAGGTTGTCCAAGTTAGCAATTATAGTTCTTGCCATTCCTGCTAGCAGTGTTTTCGCTTGCCCATAATATTATTACAGAAAAGCGCCAGAGACAGTAGACAGCATTCTTTTAATAAATGCAGTTTACAACAAAAATTTATAATTTTTTTTTTTAACAAAACTTATTTGCTTTTATATGTACCTTTGAATGACACAAATACATTAATTTTAATAAAAAGATTTATGAACTTTGTTAACTTAAGTTAGTTTTACAATATGGGTGATCTCATTTTGTTATTTTGAAATAAAAACTATTAAAAAATAAAATAATCTTTAAAGTTTACGTTTTTCATACAAAACTATTCGTTGTTGCATAAAAATATGTATGAAAACATTATAAATAAGTTTTTTCACTCACAAAGGTAATGAGATCGATTGTGTTATATGCGGCTCGAATATAGATCCAATTAATAAAATAAGAACAGTGCACATTCTGTCGGCACCAAGCGTTATCAGTGCTTTCCGAAAAACCTACAGACTGATACCTGACATTCATTCGCGGATCGACAAACGACTTGGGGAAATGTATTTCCATTCTAACACAAATACTAATTGGACATGGACGCTTTAGAAGCTACCTGAACAGATTCCTGAACGACATTAGTCCTACGTCTTCAGTGTGCTTTGAAAACTCAGAGCATGTATTGTTTTATTGCTTAGCTTTTTAAGAACAAGCAAAAAAGTTAAAACTACACTCGACGGTAGTTTAACGGTGGAAACTTTTACGACACTCAAGTATTTGTCCAAATTCCCTAGCAGTTAAAATGCATAACTCTGAGGTGTAGAAGTTATTTTTCATGTCCACTAAAAAAATTCTTGTACTTGAGTTTGAGTTTAACTTTATAACTTTATATTCCAACAAGACTACGACCCAAAATATACGGCTAAAGTTACCACTAAAAGGCTACATGAGAACGGGTATGAAGTTCTCGCTTGACTTCCACAATCTCCCGACTTTAATCATTTAGAATATCTCTGGGGAAAAGAGAAATTGGTGGACTTGGATGATTTATTGTTAAAAAATGAGATTAGCATGGAGTGCTATCAAATCAGAAATGTTCAAAAACCTTGTTGATAACATGCATTTATGCGGGGGTAGACGTTGGTGGATAAGGTGTAAAAACTCACGAAACTTCTATGGATTTGATTAGAATAAACTAGTATCATTAAAGTTCTATATCAATTTTCATGAACTCATCCTTAGCTTAGTACAAATGTGGTTCATCCAAATCACCTTGCACATGTGAACAAATATTCATCGTTGCAGAGGGAGTAATGAACTTATAGAAGTGACGTCCATTTACATACCAATGCCAATTTACTGAGTATTACTGGTACTATTATAGCCCTCTGACAAACTTCCTCTATTCGGTCATATTTTCTTTTTTAAAATTTTGTTGTCTGTTGTCTATTAATATGAGTGAGTCTACTAGTTGCAAAGTATGTAATACGATTAATGTTTTTATGAAAGTAATTTGCTTGTAACTTATGTTAGAAAATATCAGGTACTTCTCACCTCTAGAACAAACCATATTTCATCAGGTGCATTTGATTTTTCAAGCTTGTAGACGCCATAAAACTCGGGAAGATTTGGATGATTGCAGTGATCGCGTAAAGTACGATACTCTTCTTCAATCGATATTTGGTGTTCCTCATCATAGTGCTGAATTTTTAACGCTACCATTCGATCATTATCTAACTCTTTTGCCCGAAATACTTTTGCGTTGACGCCCTGTGCAATTTCTTCATAGATCTCGAATTTGTTTGTTGGATCGGGCAGTTGTGTGTATGGTAAATACATCTTGAAAACTATAAAACGTCGTAGTAAATGGTAAGAACCAAAAACTACATAATTGAATACTTAGTAATATACTTATTATATAGCTATGTAGCTAAAACAAATAAAAAGCAAGAAAGGAATGGTTTAGATCGGGAGGAGCCGTACATTTTATACTCTTGCAACTGGCGAATAAAATCTATTCTGGTCCTGAAAAAATTTTATATTAAAAGATGTTGTGAAAGAACTCAGCATTCACTATTCGAAGAAATTTGGTTTAGTTTTTGGTTTAGTCTTGTCTTATATTGAAGATCACTAACTTTCATTTTATTTTATACCTATAATTTAATTTATATCGTCTAATGAGATATATGTATGACATGTGATATCAACTTAATTGAAATGTTAAATTTATTATATTATGGATATATATTTTGCATACATATGAGGATATGAGGTTTAGACTTGAACGGTTTAGGGTCCGGTGGAAAGACCGAAACCATTCCATGGAGTCCATTGATGGCAGAGTAATGAACTCAGCCCGATTGCAATAATTTAGTATACATGAGGACATACAAGTATTTTCACTTAATTTGTTAATTATGTGTTTAACTTATATTCGCAGGCATACAGGATTTGTCTTGAGCAAATTCGATTTTTTACCTTAAATGGGTTGGAAGATATATACATTAATGTTATAAGGAAGTGAACCCACACTTGTTTCGTAATTTATTGCTTAGTTATAGATTACTGGCGTTTTGGGGTGTGGTAGTACTCAGATTAAAACCATATACGGACTCATCCCAACTTTTTTTGCCAATAAACAGCTTTTTTGTCCAAACTTTGGAGAAATAAATTTTTGTTTACAGGTTTTGCCTGCAGTCTATTTTGCTCTTGATTTAACACCTGAGAAACCTTCGAATAAATTCTTTCAGAAGGTACTGAAGTCGCGACGATAGTTAAATACTTATACGCTATGGGAAACAATTTTGGAAATTGCTGTTTGAAATCTGGCCAAACCCCAAAAATATTTTCATTTAACCGAATAACTGATGCTTTTAAGTAGACTGACAGCTAAATTACCGTTCGATTAATCTGAATCGGATTCGAAATGGTTTTCGCCAAGACTAATATTTATAAGGTCCTTAATTTTTTGGTTGGCATTTTTGAATCAAAAAAAGGGAGAGATTGTACACCAATTTATATCTCGGGTTGTCCTAAACTCTTTCCGACACCACTTCTTTCGGTATTGGCGGTCTTCGGCCCCTATTTAAAAAGTTAATAAACTTGTTTAATCATTTCGATTCTTTTTCAAAATATGTATGCATGGCAACACTTATTATTCGTCAACATAGCACCTTTTTGAGAATTGTGTAAAAAATGAAATGCCTATTTAAAGCAAATCAGAAGAGAAGCAGCTGTTATAATCTCCTTCAACGGAATATTGTTCTGTACGGATAATATCAAATTTGTGTTGTGGTAAAAATTCTCCGGCTTATTTTTATTTAATTTTAAATGGTCTAAAAATCCTATCCCGATCCTAGGTATTTCCATATTGCATAGTAGAAAAAGTCTTTTCGTGTTATTTTCGTGTTAATGGATGTCGTTGCAGTCGTATATCTCTAGTGCTACCAATCACATTGTATCATACCATATGCAAAGTTGCAAAGATGAGATTTTAAGCTTAATTTAAGAAATCTTCAGGAATTAAAAAAGGGAAGAATGTACCAATGAGATTTGTAAAGTTTTCCGAGACGATCAGTTCGTGTAGGACAACAAATGCTCGCTCGCTTCCGTTCTGGAAATTTCGATGGAAYAATGTCTCTAGCGGAAAAATGGCCAAAAGTGGTCGACGGAAATAGTACATATTTGTTTATTTATTCATTATTATAAATAAAAAAAATAACTTGAAAGTTGATTAGAAATACGAAAAGACTTTTTCGACTACCCAATATTAAGTGACTCTTGCTGGGCTATAAGCTACCTGTCTGATTGGCCTAATAATAAAGTGCAAGCAGTAATCGTTGGTATTCTCTACAACTGATATTTTATACATATATACAATCCTATATCTATGTCGATTATTTAATAGTGATACAAACAACAGTTAGGTATACAAACCTAATATATTCTATAGGAACAATGTTCTTAATGTGGTACTGTGTTAAATCCTCCTGAGCTGCATGCCAGGCTTAACTTCGAACGATTTTTTCTACAAATGTAAAGTTATGGCTTTTCAGCAATGTGTTCGTCTTGTTCTCGTGTGTTATTAACTATTAGGGTGGGTCGATTCCGGACTTTTTACGATTCGGGATTTCTAATAGTGCGGAAAAGTTGCCTCAGTACTTCCTGATTCCAATGCAACTTTTTGTTTTGAGATCGGATTGCATCTTCAACCCCAACTCCGGCCTTGAAATTTCGGAAATTCGCCTAAAATCTTGAAATTGTCTACCTAGCGCCTGAAATACGCATCTCATAGCAAAATGTATAAAACAAAAGTTATTTGTCACGTCATTTGCTACCGAAATGGAATGTGATCATGGCCGTAGGACGAACCGTTCCCGAGATACGAGCGAAAATGCGGCTAACCTATATTGGTCACCCAGAACCCACCGCGTGGAGGTGGCTGCTCTTGGGGTTCCTTCCAAGCCCAAAACAATCAACCAACTATATGTCAGGCTTGTTTTAGTCTGAATCTGTGTCAAATTTATTGCTAAAATCAGATTTTGTACTAAACTTTGGCACTTGTTGCCTAGATTTCAGTGAAACGATCACGAGATTGGGGGCCAATAACTTTAGAAGATGCCTCTGTCACCAGTTTGACGGTTCTCTAGACTGCCACGGTGTGAGAGGGGAATTCACTAAATTTCCATACCTCTGCAGTGTCACCCGACAGCCCTTTTATGAGTTCTTCGTTAGAAACTGGACAAGGAACTGGTGGAACAGTCAAGGTAATAGTCTTCCAGTTAATCATATCGTAATAATTATTAGCTTTGAAATTCAGCTCTGGCACTTTATTACATCTAATCCTTCCATTTACAGTGTCAGACTCTGCTTCTCTGGCTGCCAGAAGACGGTCAAGGGCCAACTTTCTGACTTCTATTTGTTCGTCAGTCATCATACTAAGGAGAATGTTTTCTGGAAGAGCAAAGAAAGCATTCTGTTGGATGGATGAATCGACAACCTTGCGCAGTTTAGCAGGTAAGTATTTCGACCTTTGAATTGCAGCATAGAGATGGCGCGAGCCATCTTTGATTGAACTGTTGAATCTTATTGAGAACCACAAAGGTGAGTAAACTGTAAGTATGTACTTGACCAAAATCTTTATTTCCTTTGTTGGTTTGTCAGTAAAAATGTATAATCTCAGAATTCTATTTGCACAGGTGAGCCAGCGGGATTTGAACATGTTACCTGGATGCATTGACGCTAAATCTGAGGAATATTGACCGGAAATAACAGCTTCTGATTATTTTTAGAGGTAAGCTTGTTCTATGCTAAGTTGGGTCGGATTAATAACCTCAGAAGGTAATTGGCAGGATGGAAAACTTTCAAATTTGACAACAGGCAACTTCTCACAATCAGAGAGCAGTTTACCTATGTCGCTAGAGAATGTATTTGGACTCTTTGAGACACCATCTATGTGTTCGAAAAGAGCACGAAATGCAAGTTTGTTGAAATGTAGAAGACAAACAACCCACTGTAATGGCCTACCTATTCTTTCTTCTAGTTTCCAAATGATTCCGCCTTTCCAACCTGTGTTCGTGTTGGTGCCATCAGCACCGACAACTTCTAGATGTTGCACATCAACTGAATTGTCTTTTAAATGTTGCTATATAGCTTGCGCCTCATCCTCGGCTGATCCGGAAGGAGAGGGGACGTGGCCAAAGTAATGAAAACCAGGTTCCGCTATAAGAAAAATATGTTCCTCTTTGACAGTKTCGCGGTAGTACTTTTCACCTTCGCTGACTTGTGTAAGTGTATTGYCTTTGCGGCCGTCAAAATACAGCTCATATACAGAGTCAATGCTTTCGGTAATCGACTAATCTTGCATTTTTCAGTGACAAAGCTAGCCTGATCCTCTGTTATCAAACCTGCTTTTTTGGMRTMHRKAAAAGCAGATGAAACAATCAAGGCCGCTGCTCTATCACTTACTCCAAATCTTTGGGCAGCTAAAGCAGTGTGTTCTAATACTAGTGTGTTTTGTTTGGTTTTNGTTTTGTTTGGTTTTAGAGGATGGAAGAGAAAATTCATCATCGGCATCGTTTTGGAAGAATCCATGTGCGACGCACCTACATTGTTGTCGTCTGTATGAGAGTCTKGCTRATCTGAATGRTCACGTGTTCTAGCTGATACTTTTCTGGTAAGTGTTGATGTTGAATGACGTTTTGAAAGGTTTTCTTTACGTTCATTTTTCTTTGTAACCTTTTTTGTTTCAGGTAGATCAACACTTCCAATGCGACCAATTCTTCTGGTTCAATAGTCCAAGAGAAATGGTTGTTCATTGATAGGAAATTTCCTTTCCTTTGGTCAAGTGCAAGAAGAAAATAAATGCATTTACAAGCAGCGATGTTAAATAATTTTTCGGCAGAAGAGACAAAGTCGTCTCTTTTAGAGCTCAAACCTATTGGGTTCCTTAAAATCACTTCTTCAAATTTCTTATGGTATGTGGTGAGCATTTGTACAGCTCTGGAGTGTGAAACTATCGGAATAGATGACTTTTTGAAAGTATTTTCAACCTGTTTTGCAACTATTTCTGTAACCTCTTTACTCTTAGGTTCATAGTTGCCGCCTGGGAATCGCCCTATACGAAATCTTTCAAACTGATAACACAAAAGAACACCCTGGTAAGTAGGTAAGTGGGACTCAGAGAGATTGTACGGATATATGCCAAACACAGGAAATTTCTGTCTAAATTTAAATTTAGATACAGACATTTTGAGTTCTGTGTTMTGTTGAGAGAATATAAGTGATAGCACTCGGCGAAATCAACGATAAGAGTGAAGGAACTCGATGAAAAAATATTTATGTCGAGACCAGTCCGAACATGTCGTATGGCACAGGGAAATGAATGTAAGTGATAGAACTCGGCGAAATCACCGACAAGAGTGAAGGAACTCGATGAAAAAATATTTGTGTGGAGACCTATCCGAACGTGTCCTTTGGCGTAGGGGAATGCATGTGAGGACAGCACTCGGCGAAATCAACTTCAAGAAGTGTGGTCGCAAGCCGATTTTCACTTTGCGCTGTGGCAAGCCGCATTTTCGCTCGTATCTCGGGAACGGTTCGTCCTACGGCCATGCTCACATTCCATTTCGGTAGCAAATGACGTGACAAATACATTTTGCCATGAGATGCGTATTTCAGGCGCTAGGTAGACAATTTCACGATTTTAGGCGAATTTCCGAAATTTCAAGGCCGGAGTTGGGGTTGAAGATGCAATCCGATCTCAAAACAAAAAGTTGCATTGGAATCAGGAAGTTCTAAAGCAACTTTTCCGCACTATTAGAAATCTCGAGTCGAGAAAAGTCCGGAATCGGCCCACCCTATTAACTATTAATAAAAAGCGGAATCAGAAACATAGTTTTTTTAGTGGAATGATATGGGATATATAGTAGTATGTAATGAGAAAACCGTTTACCTAATTGGCTTAAATTCTAGTAGAATAATTGGACAAAGTTTCCGAGAGTAAATGTTAAAAAAAATTTCGCTAATTTATGTTTCAGTGCGGGCCGTGAATCCATAAAAAAAAACATAAACATTCAACATATAGTGCTATAATGCATATATTAGTAAACCGACACCATTTAAAACTGCTTACAAACTGAAAAATCATTTCTTTTATCTTCCCCTAAGTGTATTTTTATATCCTGCAAGATGTGGCTACATGTAATGGTTGTTTGTAGCACCTAAAAATAATTATATAGATATAGGGTTATATACATAGAAATGATCAGGATATTGAATAGAGTCGAAAACCGAGTGACTTTCCGTCCGTCTGTCTGCCTGTGCAAGCGATAACTTGAGTATAAATTGAGATACCGCAATGAAATTTGGTGCACGTGTTCCTTGATAAAAGAGCGATTACGAACTCGTAGTATTAAATATAGGTTTTCGTAAAATAACACAAGTAAGCACTAAATTAAGGCATACTTGTAATTTGGCACAGGGTATTGCAGTGGAAGGGGATTATTTTGAAGGAGATGAAATGGACAAAATTCAACTTTTAATTTGATCTCAGTAGTATTATATTTAAATTAAATTCATAGAGAATAGTATGTCAGAGCGTCCAAAATAGTAGATGTTGAATTCTATATCACAATTTTTTAATGCAAAGTTTTTCCGGCACCTGAACGATGTTCCCGGTCTTTGATTTTTGCAAGTTTCAAGAGTATAAAGTATTCAGCAAACAACCAATCTTCGCACTTCCTTACTTGTTGTATATTTTTCGATGTGCATACAAATATTCTAATACTCTATCTTTTAGTTATTTATGAACACATAATGTAATGTAATTAATAATGTAATGTTTAATTCGTTTACTTCATAAATGACACTTTGTGTTGTCACAAATTTACAAACATAATTTTATTTACAAACTCACGTATACATACCAAATTTGTGAGATTTTTTAATAAATATATATATTTTTTTTAATAACTTGTCACTTTATTTAAAAACAACTATCTTATACCATCAGCTACCAGCACGATAGGCTGCGTGATATGTACTGAATATGCCTAAGAAGACAAATTCGTTCAGAAAAAGAGAAACCTTGTAAGTTCTTTTTGCAAATACGTGTTCTGAAATTGTCTAATAGGATGAACTAATTTATACGAATATACTGTGTTAATTAATACGGTATGCTCAACTACGGTAACATTAGGACTGATATTTTTCCCCTAAAAAGTATTTTTAGTCTCTTTTCTACAAAGTATTAAACTTTTTTATATGATATGTATGCATGTATGAATGTACTATTAAACTAAAAAGTGAAAAATAAATACAGTTCAAAAACGATAGATAGCTATCAAAAAATGGGTTAATGAACTACATCATCCCCCACATCCTATCAATGATTTTTGTTATGATTTTATTCTGAGTATTTCGGAAATGTATTCCCAGGTAATTTTAGTTAAATTTCAAAAGTTAATGTAATCTGTCTTACTTTTCATTGATACTGTGTTTTACGTGGCGGGTCCCAAACCCAGCGCACAACACTGTGCTTGGATGTTTCACATCATGTTTCTGGCCACTCCCAAGTGAATGCCGCTCAGAGAACTTTGCCACACTTGCGTGAACTTCTACAGATAACTTCATTCTTCGCGCATCCACACTAACTATAGTTTTGATTTTCGTGACATATGCGTGGAATCGGTCCAGACCAGGTTTCGGCATCATTCCCGGTCAGTATAGTCATATACAACCCTTTGCGGTTTAAAATAATACATTTTGTACCGCAGATATTTAGATATTTCAATTATAAATAGGAAGTTTGGCCTCTTTTATTTACATTCACAGTGAAATTAATTTAGGGCAATTTGTGCAACATGTTTAGCTTAAAAATAATAAATATTAATAACTTTAAAAATTATAAATTTTATTTATAGAGATTCTTATGCAAATGTATATATGTATAATACATGTATATATTTATTAAAATTACATTTCATTCGTCCTTATACTATTTCATTTCTTTCCTATATTTATACACAATTATGTCTTATACAATATAATAACATATTGCTCATATAATTTATAATTTTTAAAGTATTTCAATTTTGAAATTTTTTGCTTTACCATTCTAACCCAACCGAAGAACTATTGCACTAAGTCTGAAAACTTTAGTTACTGTTACTCCCATGATAACTGTCTACTGCCTCATAAGCAATTGCTTAAAATGGGAAGGATCTATGTTCGAGAATGTTAAAGCAGTGATTTAAAGTTTTTTCTTGCAGAAGATTTCCATTGTAGTCCTTGTAGAACTTCTGTAAATAACCGGAATATTAATGTTGCAACATTCAAACCAAACTACCGTTAACACTTTCGGTCTTGAATAAATTTCCTTAATTACCTCTGGTTCTATAGTGCTAGAAATAGTATATTTTGAATATTTTATAAAGACGCGCTTACGTTCACTGCACTATCTATTTTCAGCTCGTCCATTGGAGTAAATTCCGGTATATCCAGATTTTCACAAGAATAATTCTAAATTTCTACAAAACGTAAAATATTTGAGGATGGCATCAGGCCTTTTATACTTGTACCATTAATGTGAGCGTAGTGACTATGAACATTATGAAATAAAATTTTAAGTGCTAATGTTCGGGAATGATGGATCTAATTGAGAAAATTTCTTAGCCTGAATAAAATAACCAACATATATTGTAGCTCCAGGCTTTTTTAGTATTAACAACAACTTTACTATATATGGCACCTTAAATTATTTGAATAGTTATTCCATCAGCCAGATCTGCAAATTGATTTTTTTCTATTGAAATTTGTTCATTTCTTTTRTAGTGAAAATATTTCAGAACTTTTTCAAATGGTATCCAGGAACCTTCTAGAGGATGAGAATTTCTTGAAGGTGCTATCAAGCAAACAAAAGGCTCCCAGAATTTAATCCACAGAGTTGCTAGAAGAGAATAATGGAAATCAATCTGCATAAGTTGTTCAGTTGTCCCATTAACAGTTATCATATATTTAATTGCAGTTTTCAGTGTGAATTCATGAGGCAGCCTCAAAAGTTCCGAAAAGTTTAACTMTTTCCAAAATATTATCATTTTCACAGATACCCATTCCACTTAGCCTTTAGAAGTTGAAATGATAGCGTCAGTTTGTATAACTCCTCCAAATGCCAACCAACTACAGTACTGTATGCATCATTGGGATTCGAAGAAAGTGTCCACATATCTGGTGAGAGTTGCGTCAAATCACCAAACACTATAATCAGTATACCACCKGAGGAGATGTCTGTTTCGAAAATTTGTTTCAATGTCGCATCAATTATAATTAACTTTAAACCGACATCTCTGGAATATAGTGGATTGCTGACCTCAAGTATCTATTCAACTAATATATAAGTAAAGAGAATATTGAGAGAGTCAGTTCACCTATCGGAATTCAGGTTTACGTGTAGGTGAAGAACTTTCAAGGAGCTTGGATTGGATCCATCTGTAGAATTGTAACGAGCTTGATATATTGCAGATATGAAACTCTTTCCCATACCTGCCTCGAAACCAAAGTGTTGAAATATCATTGAACATGCTYACTTATCAGCAAAGCCCAAATACTATTGAAAATAAATATCTATTKTTAAATTTATTGAACATATGTATATACATAAACATACTCACGCATTTACATGCAATCTGTATCAAATAATAATGAAAACACATGGGTAAAGACGAGTCATAAA